CAACCTTTGACGCATTAACATCGTTCACTGCCACAGTGAAAATTGCCCGTGTACATATATATATATATATTGTACGAACAATTATCAAGGATACGATTATCTAATTTCTCAATTTGCCACTTTACGTTGCTAAAAATTTTCATTCCCCTTCCTTTTTCCTTCAGTCGTTCAATTATGTTACATTTGCAATGCCAATCAACCAATTAACGTTGCATACAAAATTTTCCTTTCAATTTGAACTTGACAATTCCTGTAAGAATCGTTCAATATCATTGGAATTCGTTTATATAATAGAAGAGCAACTAATTAGTAATCATTAGCTATCGCTTAATAACAGAGAATACCTTTGCAATTAATCATGCAACACATTTCAATTCCAATCATCAGCAGAGTCAGCATTCAGGTGTCACTCAGCTGCACGGTACAGACAATGATGACTGTTGTTTGCATTATTTGCACGTGCCAATTTGAAAGAAGAATCCGCTGATGCACCTGTGGACACAGAAGACTCGAAACAAGAAGCAAGATCGTGACGATTTGGCAAAGGATCCGCGTGTTCAATCCGCGGAGGACGGTATCCGTTGAGAAGCAGGTGCGACGGCAAAATCTAGAGAGAATTTGCAACCTGGTTTGCGGTTTCCATTTCTCGAAGGTTACCGTCGTGCAGTGTTTAAAACGTAGGCAGACATTGAGAAACGCGTCGAAAGGAAAATAACGATGATGTTTCGCGTCCACGTTCCCGTCTACATTCTGCGAACGTTTCAGAAGATGACGATAATGTTTCAAGTCCTGTCGAGGAAGCTAACGATCCTCCGTGACATCGATATCGAAAATATTTCGTTACGCGTTTTAAAGACACCGTTAGTCGAGATAGAAACTTGCTCGTGCGTTGCCTAATTAAATAAAACTCGATTGTGTAGGGTGTCAATTATGAGCCAACATTCCTGCACGTCCATTAAGAGTTTCTGGCCGCTGAAAATGGAGTAACATCTACAGGATAACTGTGATCCGATTCGCACCGGCAATATTAATAAACTGCCAATTAGCATAAATCTGTAATTCCGGCTCTCCTCATTAGTCTACTTCTAATTCCTTCTAAGGTAACACGATACACCGTCGTTATTGAAGATCTGCGATTTCCTCTTCTCTGAACAAAGTACGGAGAGCCACAAGTCTGAAATATAATTTTTGATATAACACGAGAATCATCTTAGCTTCTAGCTGCTAAGTGTGCATCACAGACTTTACATATTCATGTATCAAAATAAAATAAGAAAATAAATTACTTAACGATCAGTACATAATATCTTGGAAAAATAACAGCTACAAAAACATCTTCAGCCAAAAGTGATGTTAATTCGTGATACACAGAAGAGCATTCAGTCAGTAAAGAATTCATCTTGGAGAATGGAAGAATTCTGTTCAGTCTGGTTTAAATTTAAATAATTATCAATAACAATGATGTAAGTTAGAAACAGGGTAGCTGTGGGTCGTACGGACGATGACAAGCGTGCTATAACTGTTGACTCACGATTGTATGACGTATAACGTAATGTTATAACAGTAATAAAGTACGTGTGCACTGGCAGTATATCTGTAATAGGTGTCGGTCATTTCGACATCACGGTCATCCAGATGCTTCCAGACGTCTATACGCGATCATTCTTATTCATTGTTTTCCATCCATTATCGTTGACGTTATTCGGTGGCGTTGCTAAGGGTGTTCAACATGCTCCTCGCGTTTCTGCAATTATATAATAGAAACGTTTCACTCGGTATCCGATTCATTAAAAAAAAAAAAAAAAAACGATCCTCGCAATAACGCTATCGATCAGTTATTGCAACCTCGTCGAGGACGATTTCACAATCACAGAATTGAATTACGCCCACGTTAAATTATTGTTTTTCATATTCCATTGATGTCGAGCGAAAGTTTCATATTCGAGAAAATATTATTCATACCCGCGTCGCTATTTTCAGCAGGGTGTTTATTATGAATAAACGCGACTTCATGGTCAGTGATCAACAGCTATCTGGTTTTTATCATCGATTCATCCTGCCTTTCAGCAGAACTAATTTCTTCTCGTCTATCTCTAGTTTATCTGAAACATTATTATAGTAAGTTGCGGTTGTATTTGAAAGTGGAATGAAAATAAAAGTATATTAATTACTGTGGTATACGATACCTCCCACGGTTCTCGCACGTGTTAAAGAATTCCTTCCCCTTGCTGAATTTTTACAGATACTTGAATCACTGCCAAAAGATCGTTCTACTCCTTTCACGACAGCCTGTAGATTTGTATTCAAAAATACAAGCCGCGTCGATACAACGTTTTTAGAAGCCGTCGATCGAACATAACAGGATAGGACTATTTTTGAGAATTGCATCAAGCTGCGGAGGTGCTCGCAAAAATGAAGCATGACGAAAGCGAAATCCGCTTGCTCATCGCGCTTCCAATTCGTTTCCTCGACATCACTGTTCGCATTTTCACGATGGGTCCTGTAATAATTTTCTTCTTCAAAGACTGCTTATTTAATCCAGGATAGATACGTTCTCTATTTTTCAGGAACTTTTGATCGTCGATCATTTCAATAATTATCCTCTTTATACGATAACGATTGCAGAATCTGGTACGGTCAAAGTTTATCCTCGACAAAATACACAGGCATATTCTGTAGATAAAAGTATGAAAAAAGAATGTTATATAAAGCGAATGTCTTACAAATTTCCTGTACTCTCAGATAACCATATCTTACACTTCACAATTTTATATGAGAAAATGTAAGAAAAAAGTTTGCAGGGTACAGAAGAAATAAGTATAAAGATAGTACAATATTTTTTCCTTATTCATGTCTACTGTATGTATGTATCTTGGAAAGATTAATCATACTCTGAATAATAAATTATTCTGCAAGAACGTTACAAATTCCAGAAAGTATGATGGTAACGGAGCCGCAAACCGCATGATGAATATCGGTTGCAGCTGTCATCCAGTGCATTCATTGATCCATTTCCCTTGGTGGAGATCAATGGACCACGAGGCAAGGAAACCGATCGGCACGCGGTCTTTTGAACCAGTCAGCCTCGACGTAACATTCAAACGGTGGCCCCTATCGCTGTCAAACGCCTGCTCTGAAATACAAATACAACATCAATGATCTCATATCTACTTATTCGAATAATCAGATTAGCTCAATTTATTCGAACGAGTAAGTTTTGATCGTTCTGCCAAAGAATCATCGAGCTTTCGTTATCCAAACAGTCTCGCTTTCAGATAAATGGACTTTCATTGTAGAGAAGAACGTTTTAAAGTAAGCCAGAGTAGAGCGTGACCTAGTTTGGCTCATAAACAATTGTAAGTTTCATTAAACGCGTTCTTCGACACAACGTGTCACCCTATCATCCAACGTTCTCCGTTCAACGGTACGGACGAAAACAGGTCTAACGAAATTCTGGACAACGCAATTGCAGGCCAAGCGATGCGAAGAAGCGACGCGACGGTTGAATCGATTATTCGGGATCATCTCTACCCAAGGGGGAAGATAAAGCAACACGTAACAGCCTTTTCTAAGCTCACCCCTTTTCATCGTTACCCTTTCAAACGGGCCAGGCCTCGGTACATACATCGTTTATCCGTTTCAAGCTCAACGTCTCTCGTTTTCAACTAACAATGCGCGTACGAGGAAAAAACCGTAGGATTCTACGAACAGCATTAACTTAATCACCGGTTGAAAATTGCTCGAGAATCACGGGACAATTCTGTGCCTATTTAAGGATGATATTCTCTGATACGACACGGGAGAAACGTATTCTCGTACGATCATATTCTCGAGAAGCAGTTTCTCAGAAACGAACGATCTACTTACGTTTTAATTACACATACCGGACAAAGATTATTACTCTTAATCTCGTACTGTGAACATTACATCGTGCGTCGTTACTCGTATCGTGAAAAAAAAATACAGATCCATAGAATTGAAATTAATTTCCATACATGAAATGCAAATGAAATCGCGAACGTGCGCAGAAAACAAATCGTTCGATCGTATATCAAAAAAATTCCTATTCTTTTAATGCGACTCGAGTAATGGTTCAAGATCAACTTATTTCCGATCAATGTAAGAAATATAGTCCTTCGGAAAATAATAGTATAAAAGTAAAAGAATAAGAACTTCTTTTAATTCTTCTAATTTTATCAGTAATTACAAGGTTGCAAACTTTTATTTTTAAAACAAACGAAAATTAAATTTCGTCTCGTTTATGCTAATGACGGAAGAACGCGTTTCTCGTATGCAAATGAGTACGTGACAAATATCGGTCAGAGCGATAAAAGTTTGCATCGATGAACAGTGATTTGAGCAAGAATGTTAATTTGCATTTCCACGATGCATCATCGTCGCATCGCGCAACTAGCTAAGTAGCCGAGTTACGTTTACGATGGTGGGGAGACACTTGGGTGTTCCTATCCACGTACCTACGTATTCGTTTGCAACCCCGTACATACACGCGTCCGAACCGTGCACGTGCACGGAGGAACGTGGTGTGTAAATACCAGCGGAGCACGGTGGGGGTACGACGCCTCTCTAAGCGACGCTCCGCGTCTTCGTCAGTCAAATCGCGATCGTCTCAGCGTGATGGGCCGCCGTTGAGATCCGCTAGCAAGACGCCGCGGCAAAGTCGTTGGTGACGGGTGTTGAAGAACGGTGTAGTTGAGAAAAAGCAGGCCAAGCGAAAAACACAGTTGGCACGGTCGAATATTTCGTGTTACGACGGTTCTCCCCGACGAATAGATACTCTCTTCGTGGTTGTCTTCCGGATTTTCGGCGACACTTGCCAGGCTAAACGAACAATCTTACTTCCGTATATCAGCTTTCAACTGGATCCTCCACGACGGGTCTTCGTCTCTTCCTGTCGCGTCTACAGACAACACAATAAGTTAGACTAAGAATAAGTGATAAATCGTAAGAAAGCATAACAAGCAGTGTATACTATCCTCAAGATGAAGACTTTGACGCTTCTGCTGATCCTGGTCGCTGCGACGACCTGTCACGAGCCCTTTCAGGTGATCTTTCAATGGAACACCACAGACGTGATCTGGCCAACGGAAGAGGAACAACAATTCGCTATCGAGCATGACGATTACATTCCAGCCAACAACTACATATCTGGTATCAAGTTCTGGAAGGGTAAAATGTACCTGACGATACCCAGATGGAAGGGAGGTGTACCTGTGACTCTAGGTGTTACCTCGGCGACACCGGTGAACCGAAACACAGCTCCCAAGTTGGAAGCTTTTCCTAATTGGGAGATGCAGAAAGTAGGAGACTGCACTGCCTTCCAGTTTGTCCAGAGCATGGAGATCGACCCTCTGGGACGCATGTGGGTTCTCGACTCTGGAAAGATATCACCTTTGTCAGTCGAGACGAAAAGCAACTGTCCACCGAGGCTGGTGATCCTCGATCTAGAAAAGGACGGTCAAGTCCTCCGAACGTACGTGTTCCCTACGCACGTGGCTCGCCATGGTACCGCTTACCTAAACGACATCGTTCTGGACCACGAGGACGGTGGTATGGCGTACATAACCGACAGTGATCGCGAGGATCCAGGCATCATCGCTTACTCCTTAAGGAACAACACCTCCTGGAAGGTCAGACACGATTCGATGAAGGCTAAGCCGGAGGCTGTTAGATTCATGATCTCCAAGACACCGATCAATTTAGCGATACCCGTGGATGGAATCGCTCTCTCTCCCGCAAGCGACGCTGACAGACAGGTGTATTATTCACCGCTCTCTTCCTTCCACTTGTATTCCATACCAACGTCGGTTCTTAAGGCTAACATAAGCAACGTGGACGGCGACGTGAGGGAGCTGGGAAGGAAGAACTCTCAAACGGACGGTATGATGATGTCAGCGAAAGGAGTGCTGTACTTTGGTCTATTAGCTGACGATGCAGTGGCCATGTGGGACACGAAACAGTCTAACTCGTTCACCACCGGACAGAGAGTGATCTCCAGGGATCACGAGAGAATGCAGTGGCCTGATACGTTCGCTTTCGACGAGGATGGTAACTTTTACTGTGTTACCAATTCGTTTCAAAACGTTCTGAACGATCGAGTGAACGTAAACGTGCCCAACTATCGGGTGGTCAGAGCGAGAACCGGGGTGAAGAGTTATCAGTATTTGGAGGACGGAAGCGCACCGGAGCAGCCGGAGATACCCACTTCAATAGCTAACAGGATTAGCCTCGCTGTGGCTACCGGATTAACCATTCTGTTGGCTTACGCCGTACAGTAACGTCTTTCTCCCTCTTCGTTCTCTTTTTCCTTCGTACAGATAGACCGTGTTCGGACGTACACGCTCGGGTATACCAAAGACGTTTCGCTCGTCTCAACAGGGACGTTCGTCTTATACTTCCAGTTAGATAACGCACCATCAAATCAACCGTCCGGTGCTTCTGCTGGCCTTGAACGTGTAGACCACGTTCCGCATCGAAGCTTGCTGTCGAAGACAGTATATCTGAAAGACATTGAGACTACTCGTTACTGTTCTTTGTCCAAAATTATTTGGTCGTTCGAGGACGTTAAAGAGTTCATTGTACCATACTTTATTACCGATGTTCATTATATGTATGTTATCGTATACTTCGTAATTATGGTGGTTTATTGATTTTCGTCAGCTATCTTCATTCCTTTACACTTTCGTGAGAAATAATTCCGATGCAAAACGTTTCTCGATGTCTTCGAGTCAGCTTGAAAAAAAAAAAAAGAAAAAATTATGATACTTTCATAGAGAGTGAAACTTTCGCCGCGACATCGTAGCGTTCGCACTTAATTGACCTCGAATTAACATCACCAATGGAGACTATTAAATCTGCCAGTCAAATTAAGACGCTTCCAGCCCGATTGCACGGCTGGAAGGGAAACTGAACGAGAAGGAGGGAAAAATCGACTGTTTTCGTAATTCAGGCTGCCCCGTCGAGAGGGTTGAAAGGAAGATGGAACGTTCGTCACAATCGAGACGAAAGCCATTAACGATGAAAGCATCGAATATCGAGGAATTCCTTTTTCCTGCAGGCAGAAAAAAAAGATGATAAGAGAGTGACATATTATCGATGAACGTGAATTTAACGGGGTGATAGTTCAACGGCGACGTACGATAGAGCATTGATAATAAATGACCTTTTCGTTATATTTCTAATCCGAGATTTATCCTCTATAACGTGGTGCTGACAACATTCCATTTAAAAATGCAATTCACGCAATGCGCATTCTAGCTTTTGTCAAGAAACCATAAGTAAATGTAATATACAGTACGAATGGACAGCAAAGGGTTAACATATCAACATTTTCATGTTCTTTGAGCGTAAATTCTGATGACAAAACTACTCGATCTTCTCGTTGCGACACGTACAATAGGTTACAGAGGATTCTTTTTCAGATCCAGCCATTTATTATCAACCCGTTACCATATTAGTATCGTTGCGGCGATAATTGCCAACAATTACACCTGTTACTTCTATTTCTGACCCGAGCGCTTTAGCCTGCAACGATATCATAGGTCCGTGAGTCTCGATGAAATGGTATTTGTTGTACAATCTACCAGGGAGAAGGGAGAAAGACGAAGATGAATCTAGTACCTTAGGTCTCGTCGCCTTACAAACTCGAACTGTGAATACGTATACTATATATAATAATATATAAAATGTATGTATCTATGTGTGTACAAATTAGCGTATACGTACACTACACATGTACGAATAGCTTTAATGCATATGGCCTTATTCGCGACGATGAATTGAAATTGTATACCACGTTCCGTTGGAAAACGCCGCGTTATGAGTCATTTGCCTTGGCGAACGCTACAACAACTTTCCGCCACCATTTCGCGGCAATTATTGCCAGCGATTATTATTCCCTTTCGAGCTGGATCGATCCGGAATCCGTTCGCCACGATTCATCCAGCGGAAACCTATTTCCGATTCCTTCTCTGTAGAACGTCAACTTTGTCGCTCTCCTCCCTGTAATTCAATTTCTCTAAACAGTATCCCTCTATACACGACGCGCAGGCGTTACCGATTACAAGTCTAAGACCGTGTACAAGTTAATTCTGTAATTGAATTTCCATGAAGTTCCCACTAGGACGGTCTTAAGCTTCTACTCGGTAATGCGACCACCGTTCTTTGAGCCAATAAACAGATACAATACAGACAGCGAGCACGTGGTTCCTGGTATAACGTACAGTCCAGGGTGAAATGAACATTGAACATTGAAATGAAAAATAATCGTTTCTGCGTTTAATTGAAAACTGTTACTCGTTGGGAGTCAATTGTTCCAAGAGGGGAAAACTCGAAGACGGTTCGGCCAAGGAGGCATCGAGGCAATCTCGCTTTCAGCCTCTCTTCCCACAATTGTCTCCTCTTTCAGCACGCAGCGTCCCAGTTTTGCGGCGAAGTGAGGCGCACGCACATTAATACGCGCCACAAACGGAGCCGGGGCTTAGCCCTGAACCGCGAGTCAACGAACGCCCAGGGAGAGGCTCGGAAGATTACAAAACTTCTCGGAGAACGAGCCGTGCACCTGAGATTAACAACTGAAATCTAGGAGTCAGTGTGTAACACCGTGTATACCGCGTTCTCTCTTCAACTACGCCTACCTTACACAGTTTCTCGGTCAATGAATGGAGAACGGAGTCGGAGGAGCGTACGGTTTGCTGATTGTGCTTTTGGATCTTCCAGTTCAACTTAAACTTCGATTAGTTTCTTTACTCGGATTGCACCTATTGATTCGCTGGCTCGGAGTTTCAGGAAACTTCTACTCGTGAATTCTGCCTTCTAATTCTTGAATGATCCTGCAAAGATAGAGATAAGAATTAGATGATTGCAGAATTAACTTGGATCACAGATTTATCTTCGGTGTTGTATTACAGTGAAATTATTAATAGAGATTAAGAAAAATACGGATTGAATACATATATAGAATGAGTCATAAATTGGATGTAAAAATGCGAACGCATAGCCTTCGATACGAGACTCGCGGCGGACAATTGTGTTTATAACAAATGATGTCATCGGACTATGAAAAGAATATTAAACGTTTTTGACTCATACACGAAGAGTTCGATGTTTAACGTTGTTCAAGCTGGTTGCTATTCGCACGTTGGATAATTTAAACGCTGAACGAAAGTTCAGGCAGACTGGTCGATCGAAATAAATTATCCAGGTAACAGTACGTTTAAATGATAAAATATTCAGACACCGAAGGTTCTGTTTTATTAAATAAGGCTAGAAAAAGAAAATCTTTAAAAATGTTCGACCAGTCTTCCAGAATTCTAGTCTAGAGCAGCTATCGCGGCGCTTTTTGACAATGGAAACGTCTATGAATGTGCAGAGCAGTACAATAGGCCTGTAAGTAGTGCTTTCTATTACGCGAGAGCCTCTGATTGCGTTTGGTTTCGTCGAGGGTTTCGCTCGGTTGAGCCCGATTACAGTTGATTTTCAGGCTGGAACGCTTCACGCGCGAACCTAGAATCGTTTCCTGTTTATACTGTTCGTTTAATTCTATATGGAAATATGCCGTGTCAGATGATAATTGGTATAAATTGATTTCCTTGTTAGCGACGCTATTTTTTTTTTTCTTCAGCAACTGTGCTCGATCAGCTGATTCTTGCAAGGTGAAGCGAAACTGAACTCAACGCAAGTTAATTATATTATTTCGAGGTCGTTTTACGTACCAACAGATTTGTACATGTACTAAGAGGATTAATATATTTTTTTTTGTAGTCGTAACTCGGCCAGAGTGTCCTGTAACAAATGAAGCAAGTTCAAAACGATTCTATAACATCAGTTGGAAAGTGAAAAATAAAATATACTTTTTAAATTCATTATTTTAAAAAAAAATTGAATTTGAACGTTTTTTTCTTTTCACTTCTTCGCAAACAATCAATTAGTTTATAATGTTTTTTACGAGACACCCTGTGTAGCGTAGGGGTACGCGAGAAAATTTGATATAATCGTATATCGTAGTCGTTTACAAGTTATTACATTGTGTATTAGATTATAATGTCGCTATCCTATAGTGTCTACGTCAATTATATCCTATTAATAAAGTGATAGATGTTAGCAGTCCTTGAATTTCTTATTTGATCGTCACTCTAAACAATTCTTGATTACACGTTGCATAACTGCATCATCAACGATTCCTACTTCGTTAAGACGTCTCACCGGATCTTTGTCAGCGCTTTTTTAATAGAATTTGCAAACCTTATTTTTAGGACGTTACGTTTGAATCGAGTTCTATGCGCGTCGGTAATTCAGATGATTCTGAATATGTTGTAACAGACGACATACAGGATGGGATCCTTAAAGTAATACCCAAAGTTTTAGGAAATATAAAGGATTAATTGGCGAATAAAAAGGAAGAAAAAGTAATCACCTTATAAGAGTTTTTGTCGCAGAATTTTAAATGCCGACACCACCTGTATTTTACGCCAACAGCGGAGATTTTAGGAACTATATCAAACAAGAGGTTGGTCAGATAGAAAATGCGGGAAATCGACTTCGCAAATGAGGCTATGTACGGGGAGGTATTGTTCCTATGCATGATCAATCCTTGAATCCTAAAATACAATAACAAGTAAACATGGGGAATGTAGGATAACAGGAAATTATAAAAAATTATTTATTAATTTCCAGTAATCTAGTATGTACATACATGAAACATGTTGAACTTGTTATAAATATTTAACACTTACTTGAAGGGGGAGAGGGATGAACAAGGACGTTCACAGTTTCTATACCTATAGTACTTATACTAAAAATCAAGAATAAACCATTACACTAAATGTAAATATAGATGCTTTGTACTTAAGTTAATGAAAGTTTCAATACCATTTAGCAATCTGCTGTTGGTTTTTGAAGTGTAAACGATTTAAAATTAGGTCTTCGTACTTCGGTGCGAATGCTTCAAATAGACAAAATGGCTGATCGGACATCTGACGGCGTATAGGGAAACCAATAACGAAAAAAATCACAAAATAAGCGATATTAGCGTTTCATTAATGCATACAGAACATTCTACAATCATAATATAATTCAAATTATAACATCGCATTTTATTTAAATTTATAATTAAAGAAAATTGCATTTCTTTGAAAGTACCGCCATGAATTAAGAAACGCTATAGCCATCTAGCGATAGATCACAGATGTTAATGGATTTAAATTTAAAAAATGATAACACGGGAATACATAGTCGAAAAAATAAAAATATACCTAGTCGAACAGGAAATTTATACAGTTTTACACTTTGGATCTGGCGTTACTGAACTTCCAATATCTTCGATATCCACCATGCTGCAAAAACATAGAATTCAAATGTCAAATATTACAAAATTAAAGTGCAATAACAAACACTGTAATATGCACACTTTTAATTAAACTTTTAATAACATAGTTTGTTAATGTGTAAAAGACATTTCAAAAGCAGATTACGTATACATATATTTTATTGCATTGAATAATACAATATCATGTATTCCTTTTGAAATGAAAATTTATTGAAATTTTCTATGTAACTGAATTAAAATTTAACAAACTTTCATCATTTTTATCTAAAAATCAAAATGATGTTATCAAAAATATGAAACGACTTCTTTCAACAAACATTAATATTAGTTTTTGTAAAATCTATTTGTAATAATCCGTATTTTTGAATACAATAATTTCTTCTAAAAAGCATGCAAGAATATAATTTATCTTGAGATATATAAATGTCATCAATACTTTTGTTTGATTACATTTTTCTCTATATTTTGATGACAATAAACAACGTAATTGTTATTAGCTACCTAAACTGAAAATCTCAAAATAATAAACATACCATATTCTACACACATCTTCAGAAAATTAAACACGTATTATGAATTGATAACTATGTATGCAGTACAAAAATGAATAATGTATTGTGAAATAAATTTACAAAATTACCTCAGAATAAATGCTGACATATTGTATCTTAACTAAAATGACATTAATATTTACTTCCTCTGTTTTAATGAATGTATGCACCACCAGTTGCATTCCTGTCCCTCGACAACAGTCATACAGAAAGATCACGAAAGAGAGCAATGAATGTCGCTACTTATACAAATTGTGTACTGTAGCGTAGTGTCATTTAATATTCTAACAACGAATCTTCTTTCAATGAACTTCAAGCATGCAATACAAACATACAATTAACACAAAAGTTATTCTTGTTTTTTGTTACAATGTTACATATCTAAAGAAATATTATTTAAAAACGTTCTTTCTACTTTTCTAGAGTCAATATTTTACACAACATTTAAACTAAATTATATATTTAAAATGTTCAAATAACGTTTTGAAATAATTTTTCCGAGGTATAGATATGTTTATAATATTTAAGAATTACATTTGTCCCATGTTGATGTTTGCATGACCTATTTTCATGACATATAAACGTAGTTTAACAAGTAATGAAAATTAAAAGTGTGCAATATATTTTAAATGGTATTGTTCAACTCAAGACGTAGCCTTTTACTACGAACTGTGCCACCATCATCTTCAGAGTCACCATTAGCAGATAAAAAATCTCTTTTTCTGACAGGATTCTGAAAAATAACATTAATCAGTAATATATAGAATATAAAATATACAAGCAAGATAGTTCTTATAATTATATATAAACAGTCCATACATTTATATCCCAGTGTTGGTGGAGGTACCTTAACAATATGGTGGTTTTTTCTGTAACTATAACTAAAAATAAAAATTAAATTTGTAGTTAGTTACTCTTATATCCGTTGCATCAATTTTCAACTGAGTTAAAACTAACTTTGTTCTGAAGGATGATCTTTTGTGGGAATATATACTGAAGGCTTCTTTACACAAGTTCTGTTTCCACTGTCCGTGTGAAAATTGGCAAAGTTATTTTCATTATGTGAAGGCAAACCTTTTAGAAATTCAGCAACAGACTACAAACAAAAATTCAATTATTATAACATTATTTAACACTGACTCCTTAAAAAAATTTTCAAAAAAAACACATCCATTGGTAGCTTAATATAGTGATTTTTTCTAATAATTACATAGGTATAAACAGTTAAATGAAACATTTATCAGCTAGATTTATCATTTTATTATTTATTGTATATGTACAAAAGGCTAAAGATGAAGCATCATTTTATTAACAAAAATAAGGAAATTGTACAGAATATATGAGAAACAATCACTTTTGAAAACTGGGGAACCATTTACAGTAAAATTATTATTTTCTTTCGTAATATTTCAAGACACACATAACCTAAACAGATAACTCGCAGTAAAGTAAACGTAATTGGAACATATAAATAAGAAGTAAATTTTACCATTTTTATATGTATAAATATATCCACTCAACAGTCCTTTGAAATGTTTATACACCTCCGAGAAATTATTAATCCTCAAAAATTGAAATGAAAGCAACTTCCATCACTTCTCCAAACAACCACAGACTCGGAAATATGTAGAGTCTATTCTTCCTGTCAGTTAGTGACGTAAAAGGTGGTTATGACAATTTAAATGATAAAATAAATAATTTAAAAAAATATATCAACTTCTGTTTTATTTGTCGATATATCAATTTTTTATAAAAATTGTCTGCAACAATAATTATGATTTATTGACTGCTAATAGCATTGTACTGAAAGTATCATTAACACTCAAATTTGTACATAAAACTTATTTTATAAGCGTTCTGACACTATTGTGTGACAATTTAGAAATAATATTAATTGTTACACATTTTATTACTTTTATTACTTGTCACTTTTATACTTATAAAAGAACGCGAATGATGTAAACAATGTCACATTTGACATTTCTTAGATGTAAACATAACCTTATGAAATCAAAAATAATAGAATGAAATTATTTTATTTATTAATAACAGTAATATAATGTATAAAAAAATATGGAAAAACTTAAGACAAGTTGATGATACATTTGAACTTGAACCAGAGACAATTAAAAGAACACAATGTTTTTTAAGAGTTAATTTTACACACACTGCATTTAATTGTAATGAAGAATGTTGTGTTGCAACTGATACAGCAGGATATTTATATTATATCGACTTAATAAGTAGTTGTCCTTCTTATCAGAAATTGGGAAATATTGGAAAAACTACTTTTATAGGATTTAATCCTATCAATAACTCTGAAATACTAGTTGGCCTGACCACGGGTGATATTAAAATTTTAAGAGTAAATGTAAATGTTTCCCAGCATTGTTTATTGATTGCACATAAGTTACCACCTATACATGTTTCCTTTTATAAGAAGTATTGCTTAACTTCTTCACAAAAAGAAGTTATAATATGGTGTTTACATTCTTTTACCAAGGCTCAACAATTAAAAATTAATATAAAAAATGTTGTGTTAAAAAAAGCCAGTTTCTCAAATTTAGGACACATTGTTGTGCTATATCATAATGATACATTACAAGTTTGGAACTTTAATCAATTGGAAAATGATACTAAAATTGATGCAAAAATATATGGAATACGGAACATTAGAGATTTTATTTTCACACAGAATGGAAGAGCAATGATCATAACTAGTGCTCAGAATAAAATCACTATTCTGAATACATGTAACTGGAATTTAATGAAAACTTTGAAATTGCCAGAGAACTTTATTAATATGAAGCATATGTCAATTGTACCTCACCCCTTAGATGGTGGAGCAAATAACATAGTAGCATGTCTCTCCTCAAGTTTTGATCTTTATTTCTTTGATATAAATCAATCTTGTACAATAGAAACTTTGCATCCTATTAAACCCATTAAAAAAATTGTAGTTTCTCCAACTGGTAGATACATAGCATATATAGAAAAAGAAGGACATTTAAAATTAACAGTTACTGAAAAATTATTTTCAGAAAAGTGTGAATCCTTACAAAAATTGAAAGAACCATGTAGACCAGTTGCACATAAAGTAGATGATCATTTATTATGGGTTAGAGAAAACATAAAAGAAGAACTACGTTTAGAAAGACTAATGCTCATTTTGAAAGAATTTGGAGAATATCCTGAAAAATACCGTGTATTAATATGGTCAACTATTTTGGAACTACCAGCTAATAAAAATGCATATAATAATCTAGCTAATAAGGCTGCAAATTCGAATTTTATATCAGAATTTTTGAAGAACTATCCATTAGCTGATAAAAGTAAAAAGATATTACTAATCACAACAATAAATTGCTTAATACAGTGGTGTCCTTTATTAGTACAGTGTTCATTTCTACCAAACTTAGTTTTTCCATTTCTGATGGTCTTCCAGGTAATAAAATTATTAACTTTTACTCAACGTTTAAAACGTTAAACTTTGGATCTTCTTACAATGGATTCTTTATTTCTATTGCAGAAAGATCTTCTACTTGGTTTTGAACTCATTCTTGGTGTGTTACTAAATTACTGTCAAAAGTGGTTTGAGTATCATCCTTTACCACCTTTAAATGTACTGGGTATAATAGAAAATATTCTTTTGCATACAAATCCAGGTTTAATAAATATTTTTTGTGAACGAGGAATAACATCTACTGAATATGCATGGCCACTTTTGAAGACTGCAATGAGCGAAGTTTTATCTGGTTCTGAATGGTTAATTTTATTGGATCATTTAATATCATTTAAAAAGCCTTCGCTTTTATTATTCAGCGTTGCTGCATACAGTATCTGTTCTCACGAATTGATACTTTCGTCATTGCATACACAAGAAAATATTAGGCGATATTTTACTAGTCAGGGTCATATTACTGCCAAAGAATTGATAAATGTTGCTCAGCAGCTTGATAAAAATGTACCATCAAGAATTCATCCCAGTTACTATCTTAAGTAAAGTATTATCTGTTATTATGTAATTATTAAATCTAATACAAGATAATGTAATAGGTATTGTATTTTTTTATAGAGACGAAATAATTACATTATCTTCCAAAGGACCATATCAGCCATTTATACATGATTTCCCGAAATTTTTAACTGACGACCTTTCAATTGCTGAATTGGAAAAATTGAAAGAAAAAGAGCGAATCGAGCGTGAGCGTGATCGCAAAGAAATGGAAACGGCAGAGGAAAACCGATTAAAACATGAAACAAAAGCTTTTATGAATCAAATTCATCAAATGAGATTAAAAGGTAAGACTTTGTACATTCTATTGGCGAAGTTAGACAACATAGAGATCATAAATGTTTAAATTCATTGCTGTTTTAGAAGCAGAAAAATGTACCAGAGAACAGTTGTCTGATATAATCTGGAGAACAGAGGGACATCATTCAAAAGCACAAGGACCAGTGGACACTTGTCTTTGTGATCATTTAAATGATGTGCCAGATTTAGATCTAGACACTGCAGATGATGAAGATAAAGAAGACAAAGCAAAACACTATGAGCAATTGCAGCAAAATGTAGACAAATTAGAATACGAAGTACAAAGTTTTTTAAACTCATTAAGATCTCAAAAATCAAGGGTAAAGAGTACCTGATATATTTTATAGTTATTTTAAGTGGAATGATACTTTTTATATCTTATTTATGAAAATTAAATTTTTTTATCTAATAAATATCATGGCATGCGGTATGATAATGTTTAAAGTATAATAAAAATATTAATGAAAACTACAATCTGTATAATTTTATTATAAAATTTATGTACAATATTTACAATCTGTAAATATCATAAAATATCTTTGAACATAGAATTATAAAACAATAAAATTTTGTATGTATATATAAACTTTATAAAAATATAAATTTCTTTATTTGAGTGCTCAACACTAAAAATGCTGATAGTATTGTACTGTACACTGTACAAAGTTTTGGTTTAAAATTATACTTTTAACATTGTCTCAAGGTAAAGACTAGTCATACTGAATAAATGAATGAACAGGAACACCAACCTTGTCTCTTCCATTTAAATTAGTTAGTTCAATTATTACTAAGCATTCAATCACCTCAGCTTCAGCAGATTTTACCAATTCTACTGCAGCTGTCATGGAACCTATGATGATATTTATAAAAGTTTATTGATTAATCTTATTTATACTAGCTTAAATAAATTGTATCATTAGTATCTTACCTCCTGTGGCTAACAGATCATCTACAATGATCACCCGTGCCCCTTTATTTATATAATCCTTTTGTATTTCAAAGGTATCCTATGTAAACAAAATGTTCTAATAATATTAAAGGTAAAAATGTCATAAATTAATATTATTGTTACACAGTCTAACCTCCCCATATTCAAGAGTATAAGGTTTTTGTAAAACCTCCCCTGGGAGTTTGCCTTTCTTCCTAATAGGTACAAAAGGCTTGCCCATTTCCATGCATATAATGGGTCCAAAGAGGAAACCTCTTGAATCAAGACCTATAATCAAATCAACTTCAAGGAATAAAATATGTTCTACTATTAAATCCCTCATTGCTCTCAATGCTGCTACATTGTGGAAGACACCAAATATATCTCTGAAAATAATTAACTTTTAAAATATGATAAATATGATCCCAACAATATTGGTTATGTCGCTTGTACCTTAGCTGTAATAGTTTATAGAATTGATTTAATGAAAATAAACGAATATATTACTTACCGAAATATAATACCAGGTTTAGGAAAGTCAGGATAACTTCTGATTGCATTCCGCAACAATTGAATTTTATCCTTCTTATTCATTCTTGATAATAATAGATGACTTCCAACTATTATCTTAGAAACAGAAATATATAAATTTTATTCTTGCTAAACATATAAAAATGTATGTTGAAAAAACAAGCATAGACTTACCGTCACAACATGTAGGAAACTGATAAATTCTAATAAATAAAGCAGAAATTTGTATTCAACTTTTAATTTAGGAAATCACGTGTACGCTAGCGCGCTAAATTGATGAGGTCGTCCTCTTGCGTGAAAAATTGTAAATCATTTCTTGATTCAAGGTTACCATACAAAGATAAATTCTGAATAAGTAACTTTTAATTGCACTGAACATTCATACTTATCTAATAATTAATTACTGCTATATATTTTACAATGAAAATCCTAAATTATTCATGGTTCTAAAAACTATTTACACAATGTGAACACATTCTAAAATTAATGATATATTACAGTAAAAATTTTTTAGTAAAGCGCCTATACAATGTAAAAATAAGATAAAACAATTCTAACTCTTAAATTCTAGAAAAATATTTACAATGCATTAATACAGTTTGTCTTTTTCCTCATATACTAACAACTTAAACAATTTACGATGGCAGTGTAAAAACTGGGTACTTTGAAACATTAATCACTGTAGCAATCCATTTATACCATTCTTATCAACTTTTTAAAGATAATCCCATACAGCGAATGACTTATTAAGATTATCTCTAAACAAGTAGTTTATCGTAAGTTCGTATATTTGAAGAATTTATTAATCCTTACGACTTACTAATATTTATTATTATATTTAAAAAATATCGAT